AAACAGAAGTAGAAATTCACAGTACTTTTTTTTTTTTGAGACAAGTTTTCTAGCTCAGGCTGGCCTGAAACTCTGTAGCCAAAGATGACCTTGAACATCTTTCTTATCCTACCTCCACCTGAGTTCTGAGATTACAGGTGTGTGCTCCATAGTCAGCCTCTGTGCTGTTGGATCAAACACAGGCTTTGTGCATGCTAAACAAGCCCTCTGCCATCTCAGTACCTCGGGACAGTTTTTAATGGTGAACCTCCAGAAGTTTCTCTATAAAATCAGGAGAGAGAACATGCCCACCATTACTACTGTTAGTCGGTGTCGTGAGTAGAATGGTGCAGTCAAAGAAAAATCATCATGTGTGTATATGGATTGGAATTTAATATTATTCACGGATTATGTAACTCTCGGGTATTGACAAACTTCCTGTGACAGACCAAGTAATAAATATTGTAGCTTTTGGTAGTATGTTTTCTAAGCAGCCACACAGGGACAACACGTGAATTGATGTGGCTGTGTTCGTGCACACTGTATAAAAACAGCCAGTGGACCACGTTTGTTCCATAGCCATAGCTCTCCTTAGTTATACAGAAAAATCCAAGAAAGTCTTTAGAGAAATAATCAGCATTATTAACCAAAATTATTAGATATAAATTATGGAAAAATATGGAATTCCTAGAAAAGACCGAAAACTCCCATAATGACCCAGCAGTCTCTACTAGGCTTAAGTCGGCTGCTAAGGTTCTGTACTCACTCACTCACTTACTGTACAGCATCCAACAGATGAGTGGATTTTAAAATGTGATACATACACACAGAATATTATTCAGCCCCTTAAAATAAGGAAATCTTTTTCAGCAACATAGATGAACCTAGTGGACACATCTTAAGTGAAGTCAGCCAGACATGGAATGGCAGATTAGAAAAGTAGACTTGGAGAAACAGTGACTGGAACGGTGGTACGTTACCTAAGGAGCTAAAAACTGGTGCGGAGGGGAGAGGTTGGTCAGCAGACAAAATCTCAACTAGGGAGAACAATTCAGGAGGTGTAGATTATATAACATAGTAGCTCTGGTTAATAACAGTGTATAATACTTGAAAATCCCTGAGAGAGGGCCTTAGGGGCACATGCCTTTAATCCTGGCACTTGAAAGGCAAAGGCAGGAATAACTCTGTGAGTTCAAAGCCAGCCTAGTCTACATAGTGAGTTCCAGAACAACCAGGACTATGTAGAGAGACCTTGTCTCAAAACAAAAACAAGCCGGGCGGTGGTGGCGCACGCCTTTAATCCCAGCACTCGGGAGGCAGAGGCAGGTGGATCTCTGTGAGTTCGAGGCCAGCCTGGTCTACAGAGCGAGATCCAGGAAAAGGCACAAAGCTACACAGAGAAACCCTGTCTCAAAAAACCAAAAAAAAAAAAAAAAAAAAACCACAAAACCAAAAAATTCCTGGAAGTATATAAAGTAATACGTAAGTTAATTATTAGCTTAACAGTGTAGACATTTCCAAACATGTTATGAGCTGGGAATGTAGCTTAGTAGTAGAGCACAGGTTTAGTATGTGTAAGCCAGGGGTTTGTTACCTAGCACCACAAAAAAAGAAAAATCATGTTGTATACCATAAGTATACACAATTTTTATATACAATTTTATACACCATGTTTTACTCAATTAAAAATAACTAAAGACCAAGCAGTGGTGGCACACGCCTTTAATCCCAGCACTTGGGAGGCAGAGGCAGGCGGATCTCTGAGTTAAAGGCCAACCTGGCTTATAGAGCCAGTTCCAGGACAGCCAAGGCTACACAGAGAAACCCTATATTGGAGAAAAACAAAACAAACAAACAAAACCAACTAAAGATTACTAGGTCTAAGATAATGTACAAATCAATCATGCTTCCATTTTCTTGTGAGTGTATCCTTTCTTACAAATAGTTAAAAAGGTTTTCTTTTTTGTTTTTGTTTTTGTATTTGTTTTTATTTTGAGACAGATCTCACTTTGTAGCCCAATTTATCTTTGAGCTTGCTGTCTTCCTGCCAGAGTTAGTATATAGACATATATACCAGTACTTTTGAAATAAAGTGTGTGTGTGTTTCATATATAGACTTAAATATGTGTTCACAGATATATATATATATATATAATATATATATATATACATACATACATACATAATTTTTAGTTGGTTTGTTTGATTGGTGGTTGGGATTTTGTTTTTGAGATAGGATCTCTTACAATTCACAGTGGCCTCCAACTTATAAGGTAACTGAGGATGACCTTGAACTCCTGATCCTCCAGCTTTATCCTTCCAAGAGCTGTGATTATAAGCATATGCCACCCCACACTCAGATTGTTATATATATATATCTTGAGATGGGGTTTTCTGAGTTACTAAGACTGGCCTGGAACTTACTATGTAGACCAAGCTAGTCTCTAATTCAAGGTCTTCTTGCCTTAGCCTCCAAAGTGCCAGAACTACAGGTGCATCTCCACATGTAGCTACACAGAAAATGGATGGCCATTATGTTAACTGTTAGAACTAAATTGGATAAGAGACTCAAAAACTACAATAATCACAGAAGCAGTAGAATCTCAGCAAGTTCATTTCCAATTTGTTCTACATAATAAGTTCCAGATTAGTCAAGGCTACTTAGCGAGACCCTGTCTCAAAAACCAGAGCGGGTGGGGCAACTCAATATGACAAAAACAGAAGAGACCGGACAGTAGGATTTTAGAGGCTGGGAGGCAGGTGGATGAATGGCCGCTGACTTAGCAACTGTAGGTTAGGCAGTTTCACTCAAGAATTCCAAGAAAGCTGAATCCTAGGGCTGGAGAGATGGTTCAGAGTTTAAGAGTACCTACTTCCAGAGGATCCGTGTCCTTTTCCAGCACCATGGCCAGTGACTCACAGCTGCCGGTAACTACAGCTTCAAGCCACGTGGAACTATACCTTCAAGGGATCCAGCACCGTCTTCTGGCCTCCCCAGGCACCTGCACATGTGACACACACACACACACACACACACACACACACACACACACACACACGCACGCACGCACGCGCACACACACAAATAAAATTAATTTAAAAAAGGAAAACTAAATCCTAAATTGCAGAGGGAAAAGTTAAAATTTTTAGTTAGTTTACCCAGAATCCTCAAAAACCACAGGAATTGGCAACTCTAGGTGTCCTGTACTCAAAGGGGTAGCTAAAGAGAAATATTTAAGAACTTAAAACTCTACTCTCCACCACTCCTAATGGGCAGTGCATCATTTTACCAGAAGTTTCTATTTCTGTAAAGAGGGTAATATAGAAAATATTGCCATATTGAAGGATGCCAGAAATAGCTGGAGGCTTCAGTGCCTTGCCAAAACCAAGGTGATTAAGTGGTAATGCACACTGGATGTTAAGCTCAGACATTTTTAGTTCTTTCAGTTGTTGCCCCCAAAGATCTAAGCACTAAGAGCTTCCTCAGAAATGGCTTTACCCTACCCTGTACTCAGAGTTCCCGGTGGCTTGAATCCCTTACTCTTTTTTTTTTCTTTTTAAATATTTATTATTTATTATTTTTTTTTTTTTTTATTTTGCAATACAGTTCAGTTCTACATAACAGCCACGGATTCCCTTGTTCTCCCCCCTCCCGGAATCCCTTACTCTTACACTATGAGCGGGCATCCAATGATAATCAGATGATTGAGAAAAACTTCTCATAGAGGAAACATAACTAGGAAGATTTTAGAGGGTAGAGAGACAATATAGGGAGACTAAAACATAGGAACTAGTTACCCGTATTCTCATATATGTGAGACTTGAGTGCTTGAAGCGAAAATAAGATACAGCAGAAAGAGACCTTTTAATGGACTAATACTGTTCAGCCTCCGGGTAGTGAGTCACAGCTCTTCATTTTAAAATCCTCAGTGTGTTTCATGGGCTGGCAAGGTGGCTCCGTGGGTCAAGACCCCTGCCACCGAGCCCGCAGCCCGAGTTTCATCCTTGGGACAGACGCACATGGTGAAGGCGAGGGCAGACCCCTGCAGCGTGTCCTCCACAAGCGTGCCCCACCCCACATAAGCTTCTGATTAAAAAAAGTTTAGATGCTTTTCTGTTGCTGTTATATGGTTCATGATTTTCACAATAACCCGAAACGGAAATTCAAAAAGGAATGAAAATACATCAAAGAGACTAGGCAGACAGATCTTGAAAAAGAACCAAATATAACTAAAGAAGCAAAAAAAGGCTGGGGTTGCGGCTCATTGGTAGAGTACATACCTATCTGCTAGAGGTGCTGGCAATTTTTTCCCCACAAACAGTTTAAAAGAATAGGTTAGATAGATGGTAGATAATTGAAAAGTTACTTAGAACACAACATAAAGAAAGAGAGAAATAAGAAAGATGAAAAAACAGAGTCATCAAATGTGAGTGTTCCAAACATCAGGATCTGCAAAAGAATAGAAGAAATGGGTGAGAGGCAATATTGATAATGACTAAAATTTTCAGAATATTTGAGCAATGTTAAGATTTAGAAACTCATAAATCTCCATGAAGAAAAATAAAAATCTGAATTCTTATATGTCAAAGTAAAATTGCAGGATTCTAAGACGAAAAGATCAGCCAAAGGAAGTGGAGAAAAACTATCCTCTAAGTACCAGGCTGGTAGCAGACGGTCGGTCGGTCAGATAGCAACAGTGCGGTAGTTTCCTCACGCTCATAGAGGGCCATTGGCAGCCTTACGCTGTACACTCAGTGAAACCTTTGTTCGAGGGAGTCAGAGGCGTCCGTGAGAGTTTGCTTCAACAAAGTTGTACTTCAAAACTGTGGAGGATACACTCAGAAAATGATCTCCAAAGAAGGGTGGGAGATTCAGATGGGGTAGTAAGTAAAGCAGCATGAAGTATGTGTGGGAAGTGTTCATCGGTTCTCAGTTCTGCTTGAAGAGCAAAGCAAGGTGACTGAACTAAAATTATTATATCTGTGGTAACAATAGGTTTGTTGGTCTGATTTCTTCTTAGGTGCACAGAAGATGGGTGTCCACATAAGAAATTCTTTCATACACGTTTTCTCATGAGAATGAGATTAACACCAGATTGTTCCAAAATGTTGATCTCAACATCCTCTGGATATCTCTTGATTTTGCACGATCTAGACTTAACTAAGTCTTTAGAAGTAGGCAGCTATCCCATTTTGAGAGCAAGAAGAACTACTTCAAATTCAGGTAAGATTTTCTGAAGAATCTGAGCCACAGAGATTTCTGTTGTACGTGTGCAAGCAGGGAAAAGGAAAGGAAGTTAAAGCTGTTCTTCAGGAAGCTTTCTCGTGGCTTTCCAGGGACATTCGATGATCTGTGTTTACCTCCAACAGCACTAACTTGTAATCTAGAAAGACTCTGAACTCTCAAATTTCTGTCTGATTTCTACTCGCCAGAGAATCACCATCCCTGCCTTGAACTTAGTGATAGCCCGTGGTACCTGTTTTAGGATGTTGAGTTATAGTCACTTCAAGAGTTCTAGGTCGCCGGGCAGTAGTGGCGCACGCCTTTAATCCCAACACCGAGGAGGCAGAGGCAGGTGGATCTCTGTGAGTTCGAGGCCAGCCTGGTCTACAAGGTGGGTTCCAGGACAGGCTCCAAAAGCTACACAGAGAAACCCTGTCTCAAAAGAAAAGAAAAGAGTTCTAGGTCTTATCTATCCTACACTTCCATGTCCACTCACAGGCTGATCCATTTTGGAGCATCCTCTTGCAAAAGCCTTGTTCTTTTTTCATTGCTGATTTCAGTAAACTTAAATGAAGCTGGGGCTCATAAAACCTTAAATGCTATATTATATCAATATTATCTGACAGGCATCATATTGCATCTGCATCTGGGAATGAAAAGACTGGCCTAGAGTCATACTCATTATTAGGACTGTTTATAAATCAGAACCCAAAGTGAAAAGATCTTTGGTTAAAAATCAGCTTCAAATGGTTCGATTGTTTCTCCTGTGTTCACAGGCTACTTCTGAAATTTCCTTTTGGGTTAATGCACTGGCCGCCAAGCCTGGCAACCTGAGTTCCACCTCTGGAACCACACAGTTGAGAGCTCCAACTTGTACAGGTTGCCCTCTGCGCTCCCCACTCATGCTGTGGCACACACAAGAAATAAGTAGCCGTGCGGTTTTTAATTTTTTTTTAATCCTTTGGGAAAATGCAGGTATAATTGTATTAAATTTCTAATTTGAAATTTTTAACTTTTACGAACTTACAAAATTTAACAGTTATTGAAGTCTAATGCTTTTTAGGTTCAAAATTGCCCTCTAAAAAAATTAAACATTGATAATCAACTTAATGAGAAGATGTAGTTGGCCACTTTTTTAAAGGTTTGAGACGGTTTCTCTGTGTGGCTGTGGCTGTCCTGGAACTTAATATGTAGACCAGGCTGGCCTTAAACTCAGAAATCTACCTGCCTCTGCTTCCCGAGTACTAGGACTAGCGGTGTGTGAATGACGCCTCTCAAGTTGTCCATTTTTGACTGAAAAACCAAAAAGCTGTTCGGTCTCTTAAAGGTGATTCTAGTTGTAAATGTCACAGGGAGTCAGGCTGTCAAGGACTCTCCAGAAGTGCGCAGCTGCCAGAGATGCAGGGTGAAGTGTAGCCATGTAAAGTAAAGTAACGCCCAGGGATCTGGTACTCATTGTCCTACAGGTTTTAATTTTTTTCTTCTGTTTTAGAAATGTTAGAGAAGCGAAGATGTTTGCATGCTTGTCTGTTTCACACATCTTTTGTGATGTGTGAAAACCTAGAAAAGGTTTTCAAAAGAATGTAGACCTGAAACAGAACCAAGAGCTGTTCTGTCTCATCTTAGGTATAGTCATGAGATTTTGTTGGTCATTTTGGGTGAATTCTAAAAGTTCAAATAGATAATTAAAAAATTAAGAGATTCTACAAGAGTTATGCTAGGTTTATTGTTCGGTTTTCTTTTCAAGATTTGACCACTTCATCAAGTTCTTCTGGTTCTAGAGTTTCTGGTTCACCTTGTCATCACAGTGATGCTAACTCATCTGAGAAACACGTGTCCCGAGCCTCTCAACGAGAAGGTGTGTTAAAAAGTGGGTTTACCACCTTACAGCAATGGTCTCCAGCAAATAGCTTTCTTTGGCTTAGTTTTAGTCCATAAAGACAAAGACCAGGAAAGATCCGGCCCGTCTTGTCCTTCCAGTCATCATTTGAAAGGCCAACCATCTTGTGCTTTAACCTCTGACAGAAGCATTGGTTTTATTGCCCTGGCCCAACCTTAATTTGGTCTAGTTTGAAGATGAAGTAGTTGGGAACTGTATTTAAGAAATGTAGATTCCAAACAAGGATGCCATGAAAATGAAATCAGTATATATGCAGAGGTAGGACTGGTGGCACAGCCTGTAATCCAGCACTTGAGAGAGGCAGGAGTATCAGCCTTGTTTACAGAGAAGTCTAAACCAGCCTAGGCTATGTGAGACCCTGTCTTAAGAAACAGCAGCAGCAGCAGCAACAATGAAGTTTTTTTCTCTTCATTCAAAATTTCTAGGTTGCTTTCTTATGCCATCTGTGAAAATGGTTTCTTACATTCTACTTATCAACAGCGGCATACTAGGAACTGAGCTGAAGGAAATGACCCGGCTTATAGTAGAGTCACCAGGAAGATAGCTCCCACCCTTGTTTTATATCTCTTTATCGTATGGGTAGAGACTTGCGGTTGTTCAACTTAAAGTTTTTCCAGTTTCACGGTGGTATAAAGTGGCATGCATTCAACAGAAACCAAACTTCACATTTTGAATTTTGATCTTTCCCCAGCTAGCTATATGCATTACTTTTTCTCATGGTTCTGGAAAGTAATGGGGTATCTTGCAGTTCATTACACTGTTATGAGAATCAACAGCCAATACTGTACACCAAGCTGTCACAGAGCTGTGCTGTCCCGTGGGTTGGCTATATTGAATGCATTACAACCTAAATATTTCAACTTTGGATGAGTGTCTTAATCCCAGTATAAAGGAGCATCTGACTGTCCTTAGGGGCCATAAGTCCTGGATTCCAAATATTTCCTTCTTTGGTCTATAGACCAGTAAGTGCCCTGAGTTGAGAATTGTGACCTTAATTTTCTAGATTCCTTCCATGCACATGAAATCAGTTCTTAAATAAAGGGTCTTTTGAGATACAGGTCCAATGAAAAAAGACCCCACTCAGTTTTCATGCCTTAGATCACTGGTTAGTCCTGCTGCAAAAGTCACATATATTGGGGTTAGGAGGTAAACCATGTTTTCACATGTGGTATAGTATGAGGGGCAAATTAAGGGGTGAAGGCAAGAAGGTAATTGCCAGAAATCATGGTTTTGCCTTAGTCCCTGGGTAACAAAAATCCAAAATCTTTAATTTTTTTGTATCTCAGGAGTTTCACCACGAAATAGTCTTGAAGTCTTAACCCCTGAAGTTCCTGGTGAGAGGGATCGTGGAAACTGCATCACATCCTTGCAGCTGCACCCCAAAGGCTGGGCCACCCTTCTTCGGTGCTCAAGCAACACTGATGATCAGGAGGTACGGGCTGCAGTGCTTCTCCTCCGCAGGACTCACTGGACAAATTGCCCTTCCCTGCCCTCAGGGCACACTGCAAAGACCCTGCTTCTCAACTCCTCTCCCTCTCGCTCTGTGGCTTTCTCCCTTTCGGTCTCTTCTTCCTCTCTTGCCTTGGTGTAGTGAGCTGAGAAGTGCCCTAAAGACCATCATCAGCTGACATCATGCCTAGCTCCTTTAATCTTGCCCCCATCACGGGAACAAAAACAAACAAAACCATACAGTCCACATTACACCAAGCTGTTCAGCTAAGCTGACTAAATGTAGGGTTTAGTAAGACCGTTATCATAACTGTCTCTCTAAAAGCCAGGGGAAACTGAGAAAGGAAGGGGCTAAACTGATGCCTGGAGGTAGAGTTAAAAATACCTTAGGATCACCCCAGCACTCAGAAGGCAGAGGCAGGCAGATCTCTGTGAGTTTGAGGCCAGCCTGGTCTACAGAGTGAGTTCTAGGACAGTCAAGTCTACACAGAGAAACCCTGTCTCAAACAACGAAAAGACCTTAGGCTCTCATCACTGTGGTAGGCAGGAGTCTGCAAGGAGCTCACGGGCTCTACAGACCAAACTGAAGGAAGGCAGAAAGACCTTTGAAGCACACCGAGGACAGAAGTACTCTGGGCCCTGGACTGTTGGTGCCCTCAAAAAAAGGGATGTATTACTACAGAAGTCATAGCCAGCCTCGGGAGCAACAGGTCTTAAAGCATGGTAGCACACACTACCTCTAGCTTATGAAGATAAAGCTAGAGTTAGGTGAGAAGGACGATATTCATCTAACTGATTTCTTGCAACACTCCTGTGGTGTGGGCTCTGTTGAGCTTCTCAGCAATAGAGTCTCTCTGCAGTGTGTTTGGGGATCTGTAACCTTGGTTTGTCCTTCTCCTCCTCCAGTGGACTTGTGTCTATGAATTCCAAGAAGGAGCTCCAGTACGACCTGTCTCACCTCGCTGTTCCCTGCGCCTGACTCATTACATCGAAGAAGCCAATGTGGGCAGGGGCTACATCAAAGAACTTTGCTTCAGCCCTGATGGACGGATGGTCTCTTCCCCACATGGCTACGGGATTCGCTTGTTGGGATTTGACAAACAGTGCAGTGAGCTTGTTGACTGTTTACCCAAAGAGGCCAGTCCCCTGCGGGTGATCCGTTCTCTGTACTCTCATAACGATGTGGTCCTGACAACAAAGTTCTCTCCAACACACTGTCAGATTGCCTCAGGGTGCCTTAGTGGACGGGTCTCTTTGTATCAGCCAAAGTTTTAGGCACAACTTACATCAAATAAGGAACTCTTCTGGTGTTTGGCTTATGAATTACTTCAATTTAGGTGAAGTATTTTCTTTTTTAGAAGATCTTATAAGTTTGGGTCAAGATCTTGGTTCTTATGGGTTGGTGAACACACATGTGACCTGAGTACTTGGCCATCCGGCATCATCTGGGCATCTCCGTTTCGACCATGCAGCATCATCTGTCAGCATTCCTTTGCTCCTGCTCTCTGTGCCACTGAGCTTGGGTTTTCTTGGTCATTTTGCATGTGGCTCTTGTTCTCTCCCCCACCCCCATTCCACCACTCCTCCCTGCCTCCCTTCCTCTTTTTTGATTTTGGTATGAATTTTGCGACCATTTGACAAGAGTCATGGTTGGGATGAGGAAAAACCCATGGCACTAGTCTTAAATAAAACCCAGAAGTTGGATGTTGGCACGCCAGTTGTTGAAAGAAGAAAAGTCATCTTCATTTATCAGTACACTTGGCCTTTAAAGTCGCTGTCAAATACTGAGCACAGATAATGGCATTATTCTCATAACTGATACTCTTGCAGCAAAATACCTTTTTAAAATTTCCTGTTAAAATTACACATTATCTCATGTGAGATTTTTGTTGTGAAATTCTAGAAAAATATTACAACTTCTTTGTAATTTATTTTACTTGTATGAATTTAAAATCTCCAGCATGTGTCTTTATTTGATATTTTGTTCCTGTCAGTAGCATTGGAAAGGAAAGGAAAAGGAATAAGCTTGGTCACTTCTGTTGTACAGAAGATCTGTTCATTAGGTTGGTGCAGTGTCTGGCCGTAGAGTGAGAAGATTAACGTGGCTTAGATTGGCTGTGACTCTTTGAATCACACAGATGAGCTGTTCACAGTGGTGGGGTGGGAGGGAACTCAAAGATTGTATTGTTTGTTCCTTCAGCCCGAGAGCATAAACTCAGCTCTCCCCGTTAGTGAAAAGGGAGCTGTAGTCCTCTAAGTGGTTGTCATAAACTCAGCTCTCCCCGTTAGTGAAAAAGGAGCTGCAGTCCTCTTTAAGCTGTTGTCATAACCCGACAGTCAGTGACTTGAGTAGCACTTCTGTCTTGTGTTTGGTTATGGAAAGTATCAGGCAAGGTGTGAACACAAGGCTCGCCCTTCTTGAATGGGCAACATCCTTCCGGTCTCTGCTGCATTGATTGGCACTGTGTTGAGATATGCTTGAAGCTGTCATAATTTAAGCCAGGCAAGTAGCCTTGCTCTCTTTGGTCACATGCCCTTTAGGCCAGTGTTTCTCAAATGTTAGGATGCAGTATAATCCTTGAAGGATTTGTGAAGAATGCAGGACTCTGGGCCTGACCTGACTGACCTTCGAAGACCGATTTAGGCAGGGAAAGGACTCCGTTTGTAATAAACAGAACCTTAAATCATCTGTATCCAGGTGGCCTCCAGGTCATAGTTTGAAAACACAGCCTGAAATTGCAGTAGGTGTTTCTGTATCCATTTGGTGCTTAACACAGTTCCCACAAGCTATTTCAGCTCTTTAAACAGTAATAATAATAAATCAACAAGAGCAATTTTAGAGGAGCAGATAACTCGAAGTGGTATTTATTTTATTGTTGAACAAATGAAAGAAGTTAAATGATTTGCCTAAGGTCATACAAAGTTAGTGGTAAAGCCAGGGCTAAAATTCAAGTCTCAATTCCTTGCTCAGGGCAGTTTCTACTGTATTATGCAGGCCGTTAAAAACATCAGTGATTATGGGCATTTTGTCTTTAGGTTATATTATTGTGAATAAGATGATCAGATTGGGAAAGACAGGCATGTAGGTAGATGCTGAGAGTTTTATCCATAGCAAAAAAAAGTATTTTAATACTTACAGAAATGTTTAAGTAGCCCAAATACATGAATAAATACAGTTTTTTTCTAGTGCCCATTATTCCCGCAACTGTAAGAGCTTGTGTCTCACTGAGAACAGTATTAGCTCCAGGACAGTCTTTAAAAATTAGATCTTCTTATCATAGATGTTGGAAAAGCTGGAAGTTTTATAGTCATTGAAAAAATAACAAAGCACAGTGAAAATCATAGGCTTGCTTCCATAGGTTTGAAAAACAAAATTTTTTTCCCAAAGAAAATAGTTTAGGAGGAAAATATTACAATCAAAACTATCACAATTAAAAACCATTAAGTATAAAGATGAAGTTGACATTCAAAAGAAGATCATAATTGTTAACAGTTTGGAAAGAGTTCTGTGTCAGACATTATACCCACATGTCACCTAAGTCAAGCCAGGGATTCTTCAATCACTGTTTTTGAATACCTACTGTGTGTTAAAGAATGTGTGTGTCTGCTTTACCACTGGCCCTATAGACACCTTTACAAGGTGGGTGGACTGAGCCTCCAATCATGTTGAAGACAGCAGTGGGTCAGGAAAACGAAGTGACCTGCCTGAAGCCGCAGTTGGCAGTGGGAGGCAGCTCTGGATTCAGACCCAGGTTTGCCTGTTTATTCTATTGCTAAGTCTGTACTCACTCCTCTACCATTCTGCCCCTAAATTCATGAAGGATGAGCTACACTGGTCTGTTAGTTTATGTGCTCGGTATCTTCTGCAAATTTTTATTACAAGGCTGGCCTCATTCCCTTTCAGTACTGTATAAAAACATTTCAGACGCTGATGTTTCCATGAGACTGAAGATCCTAACCCCCGGCATACATGTGGGCCAGTCCTAAGCGAAAAACTAAGCAGGGCAAGCACCCGTGATTTTGAAAAAAATATAGATGATAGTCAGCCTTGTGTGAAAGCAAAGCTACATAGATGAGACCTGAGAAGAGCCGGCAGACTTAGCAGGGAACCGTTGCTCTTCGAGGTAGAGTCAGGGTCAAGAAAATAGCAGGCAGTATTAACCAAAAATTAAAGGGCCTCAGAAAACTTATACTACTGGAAAAAGTTACATATTACCATCTTAAGGTCCCATTTTAACAGTCTAAAAATCTGGTATTTTTTACTGTTTTATTAAGTCACTTTTATTATAATTGGTAGAAGTATATTATAATTGATAATGAAGTTATTACTATTGGTAAATCTTGGTAAGTCAGTCATGCTAGCCAAAAGCTTCCTTCAGAACATCAATTAGTGGGAATGCTATGCTGAATGACTTAGGTGCATCAAATATACAGTAGTTGCTTATTTTCAATCAGGAAGTGAAGGGCTAAAATAAGAGACTTGTTTTTAAAAAAAATGTGTGATCATGGGGCTGGAGAGATGGCTCAGCAGTTGAGAGGAAGAGCAGTCTTCCAGAGGACCCAGGTTCAATCACCAGCTCCCAACTGTCTGTAACTCCAGTTCCAGGACTTGTCACCTCCCCCAGACGTACATGCAGGTAAAATACCAGTGAAGTGACCACAGCTGGGGGCGGGGGACGATGACACCTTTAATCCCACCACTGGCGAGGCAGAGGTCAGTCTGGTCTACATACTAAGGTTCCAGGCTAGCCAGAGTTATACAGTGAGACTCTTTTTTTTTTAAGCGTTGTCTTTTTTCTCCAAGCCCAAATCATAAGTATATTTTATTATTTCTCCCTATTGTATCCCTAAGAAGCCACAACAAAAATTTTAAGGAAACAACGCAAAGAAGAGAGAAATGTCATGTCCCTTCCGCTTGTACCTAGGACCAGGTCACCGAATAGAATCTTGAAGGTGGTTGTTCTAGCTGAGTATAGGGGAAGCACCCCAAGAATCTCTTAGAAGACTGGCATGTCTCATGTTGGGGTATGCAGCACTGTGTCTGTTACACTTGGCTTTTATTTTATTTTATTTTATTTTTTTTTCGAGATAAGGTTTCTCTGTGTAGACCTGACTATCTTGAAACTCACTTTGTAGACCAGGCTGGCTCCCAACTCAGAGTTCCCTCTGCTTTTGCCTCCCAAGTGCTGAGATTAAAGGCATGCACCACCATGCCAGGCTTTTGTTTGGCTTTTATAAAAGCAGGAGATACGGCCTAGTAACTTCCTGGTGATAATCCTCCTCATTCAGGGACCAGTGGTCCTTGGGTGCTGTATAGGTTCACTCAGTAACACCTGTTGGGCGTGAAGGAATCCATATATATGAATTCTGTCTGGATAACTAATGCGCAGCTCTTCAGCGCCAACGTTTTAAATTTGTACTTCACTTTGATGCAAGTCTCCTTAGGTATGGTAGTCTACCTCCCTGCCTTCTTCCACAGCATGCGCAGTCTAATTTGTCTTATCATGATGAAGTTACATTCATGATGTGTTATTGCAAATACCCCATGAGCTCTGATACCTGTAGAACTTTTCATAGAACACAAAGGGCTATAAGAAATGTGAGGGATATCTCTTAGCAAGTGATTCTCACAACTACGTAATTATTTGCCTCATTGTTAGCTTTAAAAAAATGTATTGCGAAGTAACGCGTTCCATCAACAGGCCTGTTTCTAACAGGCTTCTATTCTGTGCTGTCTTCAAGTTATGGGCTGTGACATGAGTTAACCGGTCCTGGTCGTTGCCCACAAAAGTAACCGGGCAAACTCTGGGCACACAGTGAGGCAGCTCCTCTGGCTGTGTTCTACTCACCAGCTGAACAATGAAGCCCCCAGCTAAAGGTGAGGCTACTTTCCCAGTGCAACCAAGTGAGAGATGTATAAACTAAAGCTGCTGCTGGATTAAAACCTAGCATTGGCCCGAAGCACAGTATGAACACCAGCTCTGCATCTGCAGGGGTCCTTCCCGCTTCTAGGACCAGAACAGTGCAGACAAGGAAGGACACTCCAGGAGGCCTAAGACCGTAGCGATGCCCTTGAAACCACTGAAATGTGTGCTTGAGGGTCACACTAGAAGACGCTGTCCAGTACGAGCACACTAACATGGACATCCTAGAGACCCCTCCCGTTCAGATGGTAATGGAAATGATCACCCACAGGAAAGTCTCCAGGTGGCCTTTATGCTGCTGTTTTGAGTTGTGAATGACCTGATAGAGGAGGGTTAGTCAAAAGCCCCAAGGAGCACATCGTAATGCACATATCTTTTGAATGTATGTATATAAACGTCACTATAAGTGACACCCCAGGAGTAATAATGTTCAGGATTTAAATCTGGTCACAGTCTTTAAGATAGGCCGAATCTGTAGCTTTCCCAAGGCTCTGGCTCATAGATTTCATGGCTTTCACACTAAAGAATAGATACTTGAATTTTCTTCCAAATTTGACTGCATTTTTCATCTCCAAACTGCTTTTTTTTTCCCCCAAACATTAGGTTTGTATTTTTGGCAAACTTGATTTATTCTAGTTAATAAGCTGTCAACCAGAACACTTTCTCACAGGGTCTAAGGTGCTATTGGTCCTTTGGCTAGACTGTGCGCTCCTTGAGGGCAGGGCTATCTTTATTCTTGTATCCATGGTGCCTGGGAGAGGATCTGGCAGAGTAGTTGTTCAATAAATATCTTTGAATGAATCAAATGAACCTCATATGTGTGGCCTCAAGTTCTCATGAAGCAGAATGTAATTTCAAAATTAATGAGCCCCAGAGGCAGTAACAGGTGGTGGTTGTTGGGTTTTTTGTTTGTTTTGGTTGGTTTTGTTTGTGGGGGGGGGTTGTTTTATTTGTTTTTAAATAGCAGGCTGTCTTCATCTGGGTATTTACTGATTTTGAACATAAATTCGGGCTCTCTCTTTCATTGAACATGGATTTGAACCCTACTATATGCCTAGTCCAGTACTAGGTGCTCAGGGAACAGAGATGAGAAACTAAAGTCTCTCTATAGAAGCCTATGAAACACATGAATCCAGGGCTGGCGTTACAGGGCTGAGGATTATATAGGCTCCATGCTTGTTTCGTGCCCTGTTGTAAACTTGGGAACAGCAGCACTACATTTTCATGTGGCTCTTGGCTCACACACTAAGTAGTTTGTACTTAGATGGACATTGTAAGAACCATAAATTACACATCTTCCACCTACCTTTGAGTAAAGACATTCATTCAAAGATAGCTACAAAGTGCATGATTTCATACCTTAATTTGTAATCTATAATTAAAGCTACTTCCAGAAGGTTTTTGGTATGTCAAGTGTTCATTTCAGGACAGAGAACCTTTCTAAGACTGTACATGGCTTTACCTTTCCCATTGAATTGTTTGCAGCCTTTGAGTGGATAGACAGAATCATGGTGACCACCACACACACCTACACAAAATCTCCAGGTTTACTAAACCCTTATATGTGCACTGAATAGTTTGGTACGTATCTACCTCGTCATGTGATTTTAAGAAATAAATGTTACTTGCAATCATTTGACACACTTTTGTGTGTGATTAACATGTTTGAAAGGTCAATGGAATATCAAATATAGTGGCTTGAAATAGTTTGCTTTCACCACCTGGGTGTGCATTTTTAGATCAGGATTGACCATAAGGTTGAGACAGAAGCAGTAGCAGAATACTTTGCTACTGATAACAACTTTTCTGATCATGTAACCTCCAGAAAAAATTATGAATTCATGCCAAATTTTTTGTTTTGCTTTTTTCATAGTTTTTGTTTGTTTGTTTGTTTGAGAAAGAGGTTCACAATGTAGTTCTTATTGGCCTGGAACTCACTAAGTAGACCAGGCTGGCCTCAAACTCACAGAAGCCCACCTGTCTCTGCTTTCTGAGTACTGAGATTAAAGGCGTGTGCCATCAGTACCGGCCTGGCTTCACATTTTGATTATTTACCAGTTATGCTATTATATTAATCAAAATATATACAAAGCTGGGTAATGGTGGCACACACCTCTAATCCCAGCAATCAGGAGACAGAGGCAGGCAGATCTCTAAGTTTGAGGCCAGCCTGGTCTACAGAGCACATTCCAGAACAGCCAGGGCTGCACAGAGAAACCCTGTCTTGAAAAACAACAACAAAACATATGCAGAAGAAAAAGTGTAACACTTAAAAGTCAAAGTTCTAAATTTCTCTCTGCACTAGAGAGGTAAGAACAGAATGGTTTAGCCAGGTTGGTAGCACAGGCCTGTACTTCCAAGCACTCTGGAAGCTGAAATACAAAGATTGCTTGTGCCTGGGCAGAGCCAGCTTGGGTGACATAGCATGACCCCATCTCAAAACTAAACAGGGGAGCCAGGTGGTGGTGGCGGCGGCGGTGGCGGCGCACGCCTTTGATCCCAGCACTCGGGAGGCAGAGCCAGGTGGATCTCTTTGAGTTCGAGGCCAGCCTGGGCTACCAAGTGAGTTCCAGCAAAGGCGCAAAGCTACACGGAGAAACCCTGTCTCGGGGGAAAAAAAAAAAAAAAAAAAAAAAACTAAACGGGGCTGGAGAGATGGCTCAGAGGTTAAGAGCACTGGCTGTTCTTCCAGAGGTCCAGAGTTCAATTCCCAGCAACCACATGGTGGCTCACAACCATCTGCAATGAGATCTGGCTCCCTCTTCTGGCCTGAAGGGATATACTCAAGCAAAACACTGTGTACATAATAATTACATTAATGAAAAAAAAAAAAACTAAACAAATAAGAATGAATTTCATTCGATTCAGATTGTTTTGACAAACTAATTTAACACACTGTAGCTCTGATTTTCACTGACATATTTTGGGCTACTTAAAAATAGGATGTTTTCGTTGGGCATGGTGGTGGTGCGCGCCTGTAATCCCAGCGCTTGAGAGGTTGAGGCAAGAGGATCACAAATTTAAGGCCAGTCAGCGTAACATAGTGAAATTAAAAACAAAAAAGGCAAATAAAACTAGTTGTTTTAATTGGATAAGAAATTGGCATTCTAATGCACATTAATAATACATATTAGTTCCCTGTTAGTGCTCTACCAAACTCTCATACCTGGGGCTCAAGGCCATGCAGTCTAGCCTAAGCATAGAGCTTCCAGGTCCCAGTGAGAGACCTTGTCTCAAAAAATAAGGTGGATGGCTTGAGAAGAAATACCTGAGATTGACTTCTGGCTCCCACCCATGTGCACATGAGTACACACACACACACACACACACACACACACACACACTCATGAGATTTTTAGTGATCCTTCTGCCTCAGCTGGCCGAGAACTGGATTACAACTGTGTCCCACCACACCTAGTCCTCACCCGTCTCCGAAGTCCCAGCAGCACTTGGCCCTGTGGTCATGGGGGTCTGCAGTGGTCCCTAGCCCACAACACATTTGGGAGGAGGGGGTAGAACTTTTAGACAACAGAGCCTGTTTGGGGGATGTTCATTTGGGGACCCAGGCCCCTTCCCCTCTCCACTTCCGGCCTGTCAGACAGTCCACACTTGGCCGTGTGAACCACAGGTGTACTGCTTCATCACAGCCCCAAACAGCGACGTCAGCAGACCAGGACCTAGAACCTCCAAAACTGAGCCAAAAGAACCCTTCCCACCCGTTATTACATTGATTTATGACGTAGGGGGAAGGGCGTGCTTGTGCCGTGGTGTGGGTATGGAGGTCCGTTCTCTCTTCCTGATGTTCAGCTCTGGACATTGAACCTCAGTCATCAGGCTTGGCATGGAGCACCTTTGCCTGCCGAGCCGTCTCAATGGCTCCCTTTCCACTTTTAGAATTGATTTGTTTTGTTCAGTAATGGGAAGCATACACGGCCCCAACAGCCTTTCCTTGCTCTCGCTCTCAGTCAGAAGTCTGTGCCGGAAGCTGTGTTGACTATCCTCATCACTGTAATTCTCATTCATGATCTCTCCCAACCCATCCCCCACTGGGAAAACTGACCCTTCTGAACAGTGAGGTAGACCAGCTGCCTTTTCCTCCAAGTCCCTCCCATGGCAGAGGGCTCTAGTGTGCGTTAGAATCATCTGGAAGAGCTAAGCCACAGGTGTTAGGCCTCAGCTTGAGCCTCTGTCTTTGCCCCGTCTAAAAGCCGTGCACCTCATCTACCCGGTGTTCTGCTGCTGCTGCAGGCCTGGGAACCACAGTTGCAGAAACACAGAGACAAGTTAGGATTATTTTGTGTGGCTGATGGATGGATTGGTGTATCAAGTCAGTCAGAAAACAACTTTAATTTTTTTCTTTCTTTTTTTTTTTTTTTTTTTTGGTTTTTCGAGACAGGGTTTCTCCGTGTAGTTTTGGAGCTTGTCCTGGCTCTCTCTGCAGACCAGGCTGGCCTCGAACTCACAGAGATCCATCCACCTGCCTCTGCCTCCCAAGTGCTGGGATTAAAAGAGTGCGCCACCGCCGCCCGGCCAACTTTAAATATTTTGTGTGTAAGTTTTTTATTGTAAGTGTGAGAGAGTGCCACGGTATTCGTGTATATAGTTCAGAGGACAACCCTCAGGGAGTTCTCTCTTTACACGGTTTCTGGGGTGCTCAGGCCTGCTGAGCCATCACACTGGCCCCAGAAAACTACTCTGGGATGGACAGCATGGATGGACAGCAGTGTGTTCCATCAGCTCCATCATCAGAATGTTAGCAGCGTGGTACTGCCTCAGCTGGGGCGAAGATCTCCCGTGTTTAACGTCTGAACTACCGAGCAGTTACTCTGGGATCACCTTTCTAGGAACAGACTTTTCTACAGAACAGGGGAGCTGCTGTTAAAGCTCTGGCAGGAACTGCTGCTGGCCTGCTGTTGCCAGTATCGAGGAAAGAAGACAGCCAGGAACACATAATTCAAAACATCGGTTTAGGGCTTAAGTAGAAAGCCTGCTCAGCAGCCTGGAGGCAGAGTTGGATGCCCAGCCTTGGGAAATAAATTTAGCCTTTATATTAAAAAAAAAAAAAAAAAAAGAACTCTAATTTCCTCGGAAGCCATTTACATTATGAGTAGGATACACTGCTGTGTTTACATTAACTAGTAAGCTCTCCTCAATAAAACATTGATTTTCGAGCCGGGTGGTGGTGGCGCACACCTTTAATTCCAGCACTTGGGAGGCAGAGCCAGGCGAATCTCTGTGAGTTCGAGGCCAGCCTGGGCCACAGAGTGAGTTCCAGGAAAGGCGCAAAGCTACACAGAGAAACCCTGTCTCAAACAAACAAACAAAAAAGATCACATTGATTTTGTTAGGGTAAAATCAAGGATCCAAATTTCATTGTGAACAGAACGCTTTTCAAACGTTAAATACTAGGTAACACAGGGTGGGGGGGGGCGGTTAAATACAAAACTTCAGCTCTTTTATAAATACATTGATACATTCATTGTATTTATTCTTAAGGGGTTATTACCTAAGTTGTTCTTAGAGTGGGTTGTTTTTGTTTCTCTGAGACAGGACTCACTATGTAGTCCTGGCTGGTCTAAACTGGCTACCAGTAGGCTGGTCTTCAGCGTGTAGCCAGCTTCCAGCCTCTGCCCCCTAGAGGTCTGGAATTAACAGCCATGAATTACTACCCCCAACCCAAGATCATTTTTTGTTACATAACATGGAGGAGCTGGAAAGATGGCTCAGCAGTTAAGAACACTGGCTGCTTTTCCAGAGGACCAGAGTTCAATTCCCAGCACCACATGGTGGCTCATAACTGTCTATATGAC